ATATATATATATATATATATATATATATATATATATATATATATATATATATATATATATATATATATATATATATATATATACTAGTATCTATAAACATCTGTTGCACGTTAATAATGGCACATAAGGTTTAAATATTTATTTAGATGAAGGAATAATAAAATTTAATTAATGAGAAATTTTTTATATATATTACTACAACAATCATCTAAATACCGAAAAATATTAGTACATTAGCATAATTCGTGAATTCAAAATGAAGGGACATCATCAAAACTTACATAAATGATCAATTTTAGTCATGTTAAGTAGATAATTATGTATTGTAGTTTAAAGGTATCGAATGTAATGGTATCTTACCGAACACTTCTTTATAGACAGTGTTTTTTGTATATGTTTCCTTATAATACTTTGGTTATTCTGCCATAACCAAAACTCTTGTTGTCGACATTGATATCTCTTTTGAAAGTGCAACATATAGTTATTCACATAAGAAAATATATTATAGTAAATATAGCCCAATATTTAGGATGTTTGTCCTTGTGGTTTATTTATTATAACTACAAAACACAAACATACTGAAAATTATTTTCACTCAAATTTAGAAAGATATTCTTTAGTTTCGGAAGACGAAAGTTGACTTCAGGGATAAACACATACTTAGAAGCAATTGACCAGTATCATAAGTTCTACATATATGACGTTATCGTCAAAACTTCTATATACCGTACGTACATAAGCTATTCAAGGAATCTAAGTTTTCAGGCATGAGGGGCATATTTTTTTTTTCAAAATCAACCTATATGCAATAAAAGATCAATTTCAACTTAGTCTATTATATATATGGTCACACTAATATACGTAAGAAATAATGAACGTGACAATAAAAATGTACGGTAGAAGGTCATTTTGTATTGAAGTATTTAAGTATTTTTCTTGGTAGTATGTTGGTATCATCTTTTGATGAGCCAAAACCAAAAAATATTTTATTTTTAGTATAAAACTTAGCAATCAACATTTTATTCAGTTGATCAATAAATTCATTTATGCTAGCTAAGATAGCTCTTTAATTTCTATTATGTAATCCTCATAAATTGCGTTTTAATCTAGTGATGAAAATATTTTCCTTATTAAATGCACTGCTATTACCATTGGGGTTGATAACCAAGTGTTCAAGAAGAACCAAATCATCTTTTATTGGATGCCCTTCTTCGTTTCCGACACGAAGCAAGAATCACTGAATGTTGGATCTGTTCTTACTTTTATATTTCTTGTCATTTGAATATTTTTCGTTTGAGGTCATAAGTATAATTCTGGCAAGCTAGATTTTACAATTTTGCTTTGGTCAATTTTGAAACTACTGATCGTACTTGACAGAAATTACCTCCCAAACTATTACTTTTCCACCAAACGGTTCATCGATATTCAATATATCTCCAAAACTCTGGCATTGTTTCGATCGTTTGACGCTTAGCCAAATATGCTTCATCAAATACTATCACTTTTGCTTTACTTATAAATTTAGCACTATTGTTCTGCTTTGATATGTTTGTGATGGTTATTTCAGAAATTTGAAGAGGTATATTCAAATCTTAAAGTGAGTTGTACGACTCATATAAAATCGTTTGCTGGTACACCACTTGTTCTTATTTCTAACAATATCATGCCCTCTTGATCTGATATTTGCAAGTAATGTTGACTCTAAGAAATATTATTCGATTTCGTCAAAGGCATCTATAAAGGATTAATTCTCGCTTTACCAGAGTCGACTTTTTATAATATAGTCTTGAAAGCTTATTCTTGTTCAGGAGTTAGCTTGATTTGTGCTTTACTCAAACGCTTGTATGGCATCTTCTAATATTATACTAATCTTTTTTACTTTTGTGATCTGTTTTTCTAATCTCTAATACTCTTTTTATATTATAAATTTATGTACCCTAAGTATTTTTTTTTAACTTTGAAAATAATTTTACTCATATGCTGAATTGAAAAAATATTTAATTAGCATTCTCTTGCCAAATAATTAATTGAAGATTTGAATAATTGGTATTAACATTATATATAATTTATATTTCTATTGATTTAGATTCTTTAATATTATTTTCATCTGATGTTTGAATATTTAACCGTAATTATAATTTATCACCATAAATTTTATTTAAGGAATAAAAAGATCGATCTGACATTCCCACTTTTTTGATCTTTATGTTTTCAAAAATCATTAGTGGTATTGTCTCTTACCAACCTTTTTTCTTTCTTCTCTCACACATTTATTTTCTAAAAAGATTCTTAGTTGTTCTTTAATAATTGTATATATTTTTCTATATTACCAAAAAAAAAGTAATAATAAAAAAATATTATTTATAGGAAAGCAGTACAAATATAATATAATGATATATTTACCGTAGGAATTTTTCTCTCAATTTTTAACACTTTATACAGTCCGTTTAGCATTTATTCTATTTTTTGTATTTAATTTTATAGACTGGTAATGTTATTACTAATATGGAGGATTCTTATGAAATTGATCTTATTAAACCTTCATACATATTTTAATAAGAATTCATAGACAAGATTGTATTATCTCAAATCTTAAATATTAAAAATATTAACATAGAAGTTATTATAACCCAAAAAAATAAGTTTGTTACAACTATGTCCTTTCCCTATGAGTTCTTCTGTTTAATATTTTTAGCGCAATTTTTGGTCTATCATATTAATATTTTGCTTATAATAATATAGCTCTCCCGTTTCTAAATAAATTTGGATAATATAATACGTTTTCAAATTAAATTAGTAGTTATAATTTTTTAAAGAAAGTATATCATAAAATTAATAGGATTACGTGGCTAAAATATTATCCATATTCCCAACAATAATTTTTATTAATAAAAAATTCTAACATGTTCCTAAAGGTATTAGATTTACATGCTATATGTCGTATTTTATATCTATGCCCGAACATAATTATACTAATGGGATTTCTAAGGTAATCATGTAGGATTCTTAACGTGTAGTATAATTATGTCCTAAAAACTAATAGGATTACAAGGCTAATGTGTAGGATTCCGATTATGTCTTTTATTGTGAGTTATTATGCTTTTAGATGATTGTTTTTATTATTATATATTAAAATTTCTCTCCTTAATTAAATTTTATAATTCCTTCAAATAAATAAATATCTAAACCATCATGAGCCATTAAAAAGTGAAAACCCCAAAAGTTAAATGTTAAATTAACGAAAGAACCTTCTAAATAATGGAAATGTACTTATTTAATTATTTAATAATATTTAAATATATGAAGGTGAATTTGGACATTTATGAAAAGTCCTGTAAAGGAGACTCTTGGACTTTTCATAAACGAAGTGTGCTCACATTGCGTAGTGTAAATTTCATTCTTATAATGAATATTTCATAGTAAGTAACCAACATTCGAAAAATATACGTTTAAAAATAAAAGATAAAGTCTAATTTCTAAAGGTATCATGTAGATAGGATTCAACGTCTAGTATTTTGTCCTAAAACTAATAGGATTACAAGGCTAATGTCTAGAATTCCGATTATGTCCTTTTATTGTGAGTTATTATACTTAATATTAAAAGGTTATTTTTGTAATCCAACATTTTGTTCATGCTTTTATAATAATATAGATATATATATATATATATATATTATTTTCTGTCGGGGTTCGGATCGTCTTCTGCCACCCTATCTTCGCCCATGAGTGTAAGGGAAGCCTCTAGGTATAACATTTTTGCATTTTTCTCTGTTAGAACGTTTCTGGCTCCGCCACTGTCTCTCAATTCTTATCTAAAAAGTGTTTTGAAATAACTTTTTTATATATATGTCGTGGAATCTTGCAGGATGATAAAAAGAATATTGATACAGCTCTAACAGTTTTAGGATCCAGCCTCAATGGAGCAACATTCTTGGCATCAGTTTCACTAAGTCTAAGTTTCCTCATTGGAGCATGGATGGCAAATAATAGTGTTTTTAGCAGTGAATTAATATATGGTGACACAAGGCTAGAAACCATGTCTATTAAGTTCATAAGCCTTCTACTCTGCTTCTTGCTCGCCTTTGCATGCTTTGTTCAATCGTCGAGATGCTTTATTCATGCAAATTACCTAATTAGCACGCCCGATACTGATATTCCAATAAGCTACGTTGAATTAGCAGTGATTAGGGGAGGTGATTTTTGGTCATTAGGACTTAGAGCACTTTATTTTGCTACACCTTTGTTGCTATGGTTTTTTGGTCCAATTCCTATGTTTGCTACTTCAATAGGGATGGTTTTCCTCCTACATTACCTTGACAAAAACACGAAGCAATTGCATTGTTATCGATCTTCTGCAAAAGGAAAACAACCATACAAGAGACTCGAGGAAACAACGAGCAGCTAGGGGAGCTATGGAGCATTTCGTCATGTGAAATTTGGTCTAGTGTTTGCTGAGGATGTATCGGAAACAGCCTCTCTGCCTGTTCAGGGTAGAGGTATGACTGCATACATTCTACCCTCCCCAGACCCCACTCGTAAGAATACACTAGGTTGTTGTTGAAATTTGGTCTAGTGTGAGATGTGCGCCTACAGCTCGTCAAGATCTTGATCATATCATAGACTGAACTATTTATTTAAGATTGTACATATATGAGTTTCATTCTATGTTTTTATGAAGTAACGTAAATAATTGTTTGTACCTAAAGCAGATTTTCTAACATATACTTGCAAGACCCATGCATTTGGTTTATAGCTCGCCTATTCATTAGCTTTCAAAAGAAAAAGTTTCTATTTGTGTGACGACCCTAAGGGTCTCTTTTTGTTTTAGAATTCGAATCCGGGTTCCGAGGCCTTGAAAACTTCATTTTCTTTCTCCTCGATTTGCGTTCGCAGTCCGGACGCGTTTTCGGAAAACTTTTATGTGGAATTTAAGAAAAATATTGAATTTTACCTTTAAAATTAATTAAAGTTGACTTCGGTCAACATTTTTGGTAAACGGACCCGGACCCATGATTTGACGGTCTCGTAGGGTCCGTAGTAAAATATGGGACTTGGGCGTATGCCAGGAATCGAATTTCGAGGTCCCTAGCCCGAGAAATGAATTTTTGAAGAAAATTATTTGCTGGAAAATATAAGGATTTTTATAAATGGAATAGTGTGTGACCTCGTTGGTATCAGGCTCGTATTTTGGTTTCGGAGCCCTGTACAGGTCAGATATAATATTTAAGTTGTGTCCGTGAAATTTGATGAGAAACGGAACTAATTTGACGTGATTTGGATGTGCGGTTGCAAAAATAGAAATTTCAAGTGCTCTTAAGAAAATCATCAGTGTTGGTGTTAAATTCGTTGTTTTAGATGTTATTTTGGCGATTTATTCGCACGAGCAAGTCTGTATGATATTTTTAGACTTGTATGCATGTTTGGTTTAGAGCCACAGGGCTCGGGTGAGTTTTGGATAGGCCACGGAGTGAGTTTGGACTTAGAAAAAAATCTGTTGTTGCATCTGGTATTTGTTGCAGGCCTCTGATCTCGCAATTGCGAGATCAGGCTTCGCATTTGCGAGCTTCACAGGCTTGGCAATTGCGAGGGTTTTATCGCAACTGTGAAGAAGCCCTGGGCCAGCATAGTTCGCATTTGCGAAGTCATCAGGGAGGGGCAACTTTCGCAATTGCGACCAAAGGTTCGCAAATGCGACAGTAGCAGGCATGCAGCAGGTTCACATTTGCATGCATGTCTCGCATTTGGGAGATTCGCAATTGCGAAGCTCTGGTCACAAATGCGATATCTGCAACTAATCAAAACCAATTTAGACGGGATTTCAACTCATTCTCTCAAATTTTCAAACCCTAAGCTCCCATAGGCAATTTTCCAAAGAAGAGTTCTTCCGCAAATCATAGGTAAACGATTTCTAACTCAATTCATTCAATCTATTTCATCTTTTTACAAGATTTCATCACAAAATCTAGGTTTTTTCATGGGAAATTGGGTGTTTTTGGGTAGAATTTAGGGTTTTCGAAATTTGGGGATTTAGACCTCGAATTGAGGTCAGGTTTCAAAACCAATTGCATATTTGGGTTCGTGGGTGAATGGGTAATCAGGTTTTGGTTCGAACTTCGAGTTTTGACCAAGCGGGCCCGGGGTCGGTTTTTGACTTTTTGGGACAAATATTGGGAAAGCTATACTCATGCATTAGAATTGGTTTATTTAGTGTTAATTGATGTTAATTAGTTAATAGCATAGATTCGAGCGGTTTGGAAGTGGAAACTAAAGGAAAAGCGGTATTAACCTTCGCTTAAGGGAATAGGTGTTGTCGTCTTATTTGATACGTGTTAGTCTTGAGTTCGACGTATAGGTGTGGTGACGAGTATCCATACATTGATGTTGAGCATGCAAGTGAGTCTTATACTGTGACCGTTGTGTCTCTTATCACGTACTGTTCATGCTTAAATTGATGATTCTCTATGTTGAACAAGTCTTATGATATTTTCTTGGTATTAGATCATTGTTGAGTATTGACTCAAGTTGAGACTTATTTTGTGAAGTTATCTGTTGACCTGAGATTGGTTATTGTTGATTCCCTTGTCGGATGTTATTGTTTCTTCTGTTTTGGTGAGGAAGAGTGTAAAGCACGAAGGATGATGCCGTGCACGATATTGTGAGTGAGTGTTAATGCACGAAGGGTGATGTCGTGCCATGATTTGAGAGTTAATGCATGAAGGGTGATGCCGTGCCATGATTATGAGAGTTAATGCACGAAGGGTGATGCCGTGCTGTTTCGGTTGTTTCTTATGGTGAGGACGAGAGTAAAAGCACGAAGGGTGATGTCGTGCACGTGTTACTATTTCATTATTCATGTTGGTTCAAATATGGTGTTTACTCTGTTTCTCTATTGATTTACTCTCAGAATTTGATATTCCCCGCAGCATGTTTCCCCTTCCCGTCATTATTTGTTAAATTTCTGTTATTATTGCTTTTCCCGTATATGAAATAACTGCACAGGTTTATGTTGTTGTCGTGTCCTAGCCTCGTCACTACTTCGCTGAGGTTAGGCTCGATACTTACCAGTACATGTGGTCGGTTGTACTGATACTGAACTCTGCACTTTCTATGTAGATTTCGGCGCCGGACCTCGTGAGTAGAGTTGAGGTTGCTGCCTTCAGTCCACGGGTGACCCAAGGTAGATCTGCCGGCGTTCGCAGACCCTGGAGTCCCCTTTCCCTATTTTAGCTTTTCCTGTCTCTATCTCTTTCTATTTTGAGAATAGATGTACTTCTTTTAAACCAATATTTGTAGAATTTCCTAGACGTTCGTGGATCGTAATTCCAGATCATTGGGGTAGTCATGTATTGGAGTTGTTGAACTATTATATCACTTCTGCACCTTATATCTCTTTAGTTTTAACTATTATTTATTTCTGTTTTGGTTAATAATAAATGTGGTAAAGCTGTATCGGTTGGCTTGCCTAGAGTAGGCACCATCAACATCCCGACGGTGGGAAAGCCGGATCGTGACAGTTTGTTATTTCTAAATGTATTGATCGAAGCAAGCAGCGCGAGAGCTAGAAGCTCGTATGTAGATTCGTCCGAATTCAGTAACTTTTGCTTAAATAATGTATTTGTATTAAAAAGTTTTAAATTTAGAATCAAGTTGTTAGCACTTGAAATAGTGGTTTCTATGTTTCCTAGTCAACTGGTCCTTATTTTTTATTTTTTTCTGTATTCTTCACAATATAGTTGTTCATTTTCAAAATTTATGAAGATATATACTCAAATTATGTGTTTTTTGGTTCCATTCCTTCCTTTGCTACTTCAATTAGGAATTTTTTTTTATTATCATACACTACTAGAAATCCGGTAAATACAGATAAAAAAAAATCTATCAACTTTGGTCGGTTATGGACAATTACTGACCAAAACGCGATCAAATGCGCTTGGACGGTATTTTGATGGTCGTTTTAATATACCGACCAAAGTTGGTCGGTCAATTATGTCACGACCCAAAATCCACTAAGTGTCGTGATGGCACCGGACACCACTGTCAGGCAAGCCAACCAAATACTTAATTAAATCCTTGTTTTAATACTCCTGAAATCTATGATTTTTCCTTCAAATTTACCATTTTAAAAAAGATAATCGTTTTAAATCAAATTAAATAATAAGCAGTTGATATAAAATACTTTACAACCATCCAAGAACCCGGTGTCACAAGTGCATGAGCAATTTCTAAGAATAATCGAATAAAGTACAACAGCTGTCCGAAATACAATTGGACAGGAAATAAATAGAATCCTGAGAGAGACTATAATAGTTGCGGGGCGCCTCGAGGAAAATACGGCTCACCTAGTCTCCGTGTCAACCATGCTGCTACGCCTGCTAAGCCATCAGTGGCGCATGTGCCTGTGCAACAAAAATGCATAGAAGTGTAGTATCAGTACAAAAAATAACGTGTACTCAGTAAGTATCCCGCCTAATCTCGAAGAAGTAGAGACGAGATGGCAACTTTGACACTTACTAAAGGTCCAGTAATAATATTATTAATGCGATGACATCACGGGTCTATTAAGAACAACAGTAAAATTTAAATGAGTCACTAACCAGGTGAAAGTCACTTTTTATTTAAAGTCTCCGGATTCATAATCCATTAATTGACAATTATCTCAAGTCAGGGAAAGCGGATATTAGTATCAATGACTATCACAGCAAGCAATACAAGCATGCGCAACTCATGCCGAGGACGTACGGCCCGATCCAACAATATTTAAACTGTGCACTACCAGAGGGTCGAATGGCGCGAACCATAGATGCGTCTATTTAATCTACCGAGGCGTTCGGCCCGTTCCACATTATATAAACACATTCAAACAGTCAATTAAGGACATCACCAGGAAATAATTTATCCAAGGAAAAACCAATTTTCTTATAACAATTCAAGGAGATGAAGGTAAATCTTTTTTTTTAATTCATTTACTAACTCAACGTGGTTTAAACAATTCAAACTGTCAATAAGATTATAAATATTCCAAGAATAACATGCTTTTGGGTCCTAGACTACCCGGACTTAAATATAATAGTAGCTACGCACGGACTCTCGTCACCTCGTACGTACGTAGACCCCACAAATAAGAGAACATAACCAATTAACTCACCTATGGGGACAATTCCCTCTTACAAGGTTAGAAAAGAGACTCACCTCGCTCCGAAGATCCATAACAGGCATTCCACGCCCTTCCGAAGACTTGAACCGATGCCAATACTCCCAAAACTACCCAATGATGATGCAAATTCATAAATATACGATAAACTACTCATATTTGTGAGCACGTGATTTTTGCCCTAAGCAAATTAATTCCAAAAGTTTCAAATAATTGATTTCCTTATTATTTTACAATTTTTTGTGATTTTTTTTTGTTAAATTTTTGTGTTAATTGGTTGCATTTTTCATATGAAAATACAGAAAAATATGCACATGCATTTAGGGATTTAATTTCACAATTTTAGTATTAATTAGGTATTAATTAGATTTAGAATAAAGTTTAAAGAAAAATTGCAAAAAATAGTCTTGTTGCACTCTTAATTGTTAATTGTTGCGTTTTATTTCTAAATAGAGTTTTAAGTAATTTTAGGAGTTTAAATAGTTTAATTGAGTCTTTGTTTTG